AGCAAGTCCAAAAACTTTTAAATGCACACATGCCAACGCTTAGGTCCCCTTTCGAACAAGAACGAGCTAAAATGAAAGAATTTCGCATCGACTTGGCAAACCCTTTCATTATTTCATATTACTCGTCCCCTCAAAAGGGAAGAAATGCCACCGACTTTTGAGAAATAATTGAATTTGTGGGCATTTTTGCTTGTGCGGACACATACACACACAAACATTTAAACGGTACATAGACAAATTGAAAGAGCACTGAGAGTAAGCCAAAGCAGTTTCCTGTTGTGGGAGCGAGATAAAAAACAGCGATGCCGTTCTATCGCACAAATCATATGGATGAGAGTAAGCCAAAGCAGTTTCCTGTAGAGTGAGCGAGTAAAAAGACAGCGTTGCCGTTCTCACGACACAGGCCATATGTATTCTTACTCTCTTGATGTGAGAGCATGCGGGCTTGTCTCGAACCCGAACAAAAACGAAGGCGACTTTGGACCAGCCGCAAAAAAAAGAAGATTGTCACCACCAAATATACGGTTTGACCAGTCTATATGTTATTTGGTTAGTGGTAAGACTGAGTCATCACCCCGGCCAAGAAGCTACTTTACAAGCTGTCTTAATTTAACACTTAAATTCCTTGGTTGATAAACGCATTTTATCAATTCTCTGCAAACTATTTTTTCCTAATATACTAACAGATGGTCCTAAGTCCAGTAAACCGTACACTTCGTCATCTCCTATCCGAATCTTACGTATTGTTTCTTGCTAATAGTTTATATCTATCTCTACACTTTAATATTTTAGACGATATCTTTCTTGGACTTAATATACACTTTAGCTCTAAACGTAATGTATGTGATTCATTCACATTAATTTCACGTATTTTCTCTGTTTTAGGCTCATTTAATAGTTTGATTGGGGTTTCTTTCTCGAACGAGGTAACCACTAGGTAACGAGGTAATCACTTTTTCGTCTAATTGTTTTCCTTATGCTTAGGACAAGTATCCAAGGTTATATTTTTCTCCCCACATCGGTAACAGAAAATAATCCTTGTTCGGACGGGCAGTCATAAAACGAGTGACCTATTTGATCACAAGCTCCAGCGCCTGATACGTGGACTTATCTCCTCCATTATCATACATTTTTTTGAATTTCTTAAAAGCGGCTAATTTTATTTCCTTTTCACTGTTAGATTCTTCTGCATTTAGATCCGATACCGCTATTTGGTTAGAGAATTTGAGAATTGTCTGCTGCAAGCGTATATTTTTCTTACGTGCAATAAACTTTTCGGCTTTACGAGTTTCTGACAAATGACAATCTAAACTGTAAATGCTCTGGGCGAATAATAACAGATCTTCTAACATATCCTTTTATAATATTTGCTAATTTTGCATCACTAACGCTTCTTTCATTCGTGAAATCTTAGTGCCAACATCCATATAAAATAATTAAAAAGTTTTTGGGTAGCGAATTTGCCAATTGTCTGCTGCAAGCGTATACGTATACGTTTGCTTACGTGCAATAAACTTTTCGGCTTTACGAGTTTCTGACAAAAGACGATCTAAACTGTAAATGCTCCGGGCGATAGATTGCCTAGAGATTTTCTAACATTTCCTTTTATACTATTTGCTAATTTTGCATCACTTAACGCTTCATTCATTCATGAAATCTTTGTGACTACATCGATATAAAATAATTCATAGGTTTCCTTAAATTGCTGTTGTCTCCCAATAACACGCATCAATCTCTATGTGTGGTCCGCTGCAGCTTAGTTTTAATAAATTCAGATTTTATTTAAAAATTACATAAGCCACAAGCTCTGGTAAATATTTTCTCAGAACTTCATTGCTGTTTGATTTATGTACATATACATATGTCAACACATAGTCAAAGCCATTTGGTGTGCGGTTTCCCTTATCTCATTTATATTTTTCCATCTTTACTGTTATTTTGGCAAGAAGAGATTGACCAGTGCGAATAATACTTTTCGCGTAGTTAATATAATAAGTAATAATTCTAATTTCTTCTTTTTTCTAATTCTTGCAAGAAGAGCTTGACAGGTGCGAATACTACTTGTTCCGCTCACGCATATACTAACACCAACGAGTGAAAACATAGATATCTTTGTAAAACCTGGCAACATTTATCCAAAGATGTCCATACATATTCATATATATTCTACATTTATAAGACAGGCAACAATACCGATTCAGATTATGTGTTCTAAAACGAGCTGTAACTATTTATATATTATTTGGTAAAAAACATTTTGTTTTGTTCGGCAACTGACTGGCTTATTACAAATTATATAAACGATAGTATATAGCACAATTTCTTGAGGGACTTCAGCTAGGACATTTTTATACCCTGAACCCATTAAAAATGGGTAAAAAGGGAATAATTTATTTGTGCAAATGTATGTAACAGGCAGACGGAAGCATCTCCGACCCCATAAAGTATATATATTCTTGATCAGCATTAATAGCCGAGTCGATCTAGCCATGTCCGTCTGTCTGTCCGTTCGTCCGACTGTCCGTCCGTTTAAATGAACGCAAGGATCTCAGAACCTATAAGAGCTAGAGGCTTGAAACTTGGAATGTAGGTCCTCCTAGTTCCTGCGTTTCCGATATTCAATAACTTGCCGTTTCCAAGTAATCAAGAAAAATCGATATCGAAATCCTTTATTTTTTTTAGCGATTTTGGTAAATAATAAGAGCTAGAGACACCAAACTTAACATTTAGCTTCTAGAATAGTATATATATCAAGTATCTTTCATGTTATAGCTATCACCACCTCCCCGCTACTACCTCATAGCTATAAATGAAGTAAATAAATCAATTTTTCATAGTACAATACGATCTACTGCTAAAAATTTCATCAAGATCGGTTAAGAAACACAAAAGAAAATGTGTTTTGGCTGCCCACGTGTTTGCGGCAGCTAGTGCGAATTCCAAGAAATTTTGTATCCATGCACACACATTCATACGAGTCTGCTTAGAATATTATCAACAACATTGCAATTGCGATTGTATTGTTTTCTGTGCAGCTATTTTAATTAGTTTTTTCACATTAAGACTCAATTATTGGTGTGGCTATTGAGTATAAGCGGCGGAAAGTAGCGCGTTCAGTTACGAGTTCGAACCCTGCCGAGGGAACAATTTTTTTTTAATTTTAATTTTTCTATATGGAAGAAGAGGGTTCAGGGTATCCCCTTGTCGGGAGCTCCCGAATAAAACCTCTTACTTGTTTTAGGTGGACTAAGTATAACGGATATTCACTTAATAAAGTCTCTCCTAATGAAATGAATAGAGAATATGTGCTCAAGGGGACAGATAGGTTTAAGCTTAAAATAAAGTCCATAATGCGAAATACGTAAAATTGTTTAATGTCCAAAGAACGCAAAGCTGTATTTACCTTTCTGAAAGGCGAGAGAATATGGCTTACATATGTACTATAAATACTCATGATCGCAAACTAATGATTACGGATAGATTACTCAAGAAAGTCATTCAGTAAAGGTCTTAGTCAACTCTTGTAGGTTTTATATAGTGAAAGCTTTGTGATAAATTAAGAACAATAAGTCCTTTTCAAGGTGATGAACTGAGCTGGTTTACTGTGTGTGAGGTTAGGCTCAAATTCAATGTATCTACTCAATGTATCTATGTCAGTTGAAAACTCTTCAATAATTATGGCACAAAAAAGGACCTGTCTTTTCTAGCGATAATGCAGGTTCGTATTTTACCTAATAACCTAGCCACAAACTGATTGTATTTAAGATTATCTAAGCCACATTGCTTATAGCAACCAAAGTTTTGAAACTCAGCCTCTGCCTCTGAGCAGGTGTTCCCATCCAGTTTGTACCTACCCATCTCGCTCGGGCCTATCGGGCCTATAGCTACGAGGTGAGAGCCTGGCCTAATAGCTAGTCTTTTAGTTCTTCTTCGTGGCATCCGACTTTTAAAGTTAGTTGGACCGAGCTAAGAAATTGAGCTCACTTGTGTAGAACTATCACCACGTAGTTTATTGAACCTAGGATTCTGGAGATCTATCATCTTCAGATTCTACTACTTAAGTTTTAAGTCCACACAATATAACAGTAAGCAATGTAAATTGGCATCTCATTGTCAAACACAAAACACTATTAACTGGCCACACTTGCATAAAAAAAGTATAAGAATACACGTTTTTCCATTCTCGTTAATCAAAACAATTCGCTCATAATTGAAGAATCGCAAACGGTCGGAACCAAATCTTTTTTAAATATATTTTAAAATACTCATAATACAAATATTGACAATGTTAGGAGTGGACCAATGCGGAAGAAGAAAAATAAGCTTAAAATAGTGCGTCAGAACTTAGCTTATATGAAATATATTAACAAAATCTTATATGATCTCTCCAGAATTGAAGCACCTTTCAATAAATCAAACCAATCTTTAATTCAGCTTTCCTTTGGCTTCTCCACATTTATAAATATGACAATTTTAATGAAAAAAGATAAAACGTTTAAGTTATACTGTGGAAGTTATACTTTAGTCCACTCTAACCACTCCCTCGCTTGACAGTTTGACGCTAGAAAATTTAAGTCACAGGAGCTTAGTTTCTAACATTGCCAAAGTAAGCTTAGATGACAGCATTCTAGTTAAGCTTTGACCTCAATTTTTCTCAAATTCAAATTTTGATTTTCACGCTTGTCCTGAGAAGATGCTTTTGTACGAATTTTGGCAGTCTAGCTTTTTCTGTTTTTGCTTTAGTTTGGGCGCTATGCACCAATCAGTCAGACAGGACAATCGATGAAAATAATAATGCATGCGACCTCAAGACAATCCAATTTTATTACATATAAATATTATTTAAAATTAAGCTTGAGTTAAGATAGCAAAAAAAGATAAATTCGCAAAGCGGAGTCTGCGTCAAGAACAGTAGTATATAACAAGTCTGTTAATGATTTGGATTTTATGTTGTACAAGTGACATTAAGAAGTTATATTATTAATATTCTTTGAGGGGAATTAGAAAAGATTCATATATAATTAAAAATAGTAAGACTTGCAAAAGATACAATTGTTCAACTTACCACAAACTTTGGGAATCCAAATAACAAGACAAAGAAATTTATAAAATCACATAAGAACAGTAACGTATATACATCTGTAGATAAACGTGCCTTGTGAAGTAAAGCGAGAAAAAATTTATTTATTGCAGAAGAAGGTCCACCTTTGTGTCTGTGGGTTGGATTGTATAATATTTGTTTTAATTTTCAGTTTTAATAAAATGTAAACGAAATCATCGAGGTCTAACGACAAGCTCAATTGATAAACTTTATTTTTTTTTTTTACATTTTATAAAATAATGTTATTAAATATTTCAAGAGATACTAGCTTTAATAAAAATATATTTGAGGAAAAACAAGTAAGTTCCTCTTACACCTCAGAACTTTGTTTAAAAAACAGGATTTTGATATATATTTTTATCGATTGCGTGTAAGCGGGGCAAGTTATCAATGATCGGAATCAATCTCGTTTCAGTATGTTGCATACATTTGCATAAAAACAATATTCCATTTTTACCAATTTTTAAAAGATACAGGGTGAAAAACTTGAAAACTAAAGAGGGCTTACCATAGAATATAGGTGTATTTAATTTTGGATCAGTTCGGAAGATATTTAATCTTTTTTAATGAGGCTGCAAGTTTTATTTGTTCGGAACCCCGAAGTTAAACTTTATTTTAAGCTTTGCTTACTCTAAACTTTTCATGGCAAAACGATAGTTCTCTGATTCGATGTTATGATAGACATATTTATTTTCCATTCCTGGTCGTAGTAAGTCATCAATATCCCGTTCCATTTCACTTGTGTTAGAACGATAGGCAGTAGTTTCTTTAGGTTCACTTCCTGACTCTTCCCTTAAATAGCTTTAATTTAATCAGGTATTAAGGTAAAAGATTAAATAAATATACCTTAGTCGCTTTAAAATATCTGTTGGTCGTTCCTTGCTTAAAGTTTTGCTATCTTAAGAGTTTGTGTTAATATGTATACTAGAAATAAATATAAATTTCAGAAGGGACTTACTGGTTTGGTTTAGTGGTACCGGGTCCGTTTCCGATCTTGGTATGTTCCAAATTCCCTGTTTTTTCAGCATATAGCGGTGCCAGAATAGTACAACCAAGAGCAAAAGATCATATACCGCTTTGCCATGTTTTGAAAAAAGCTCAAAATCTGTTGTCTTGGCTAGTTTTATAAGCTTGGGGTCAAGAACAATTTTTTGATGCATTATGCACTTTAAAAAAATCATTGCCAACGTGTATGTGATAAGAGTAACCCAGAAATTCTTTGTTGGACGCGGTAATGTAAGGGCACCCCAGTAAAGGACCAGAAAAGGCATTGGTAATGAAATTATTGAGGAGTTTGCAGCCTGGTTGACAAATACAGCCAAATAGCTGACCACTTCCGTATTGGCGATAATTGCATACCACAAAGAAATTAACATTTGTACAAAATTATTATGATTAAGTGTCGTAAAATCCTCGCTCTTTGATATCAAATCAAACGTCGATTCTTTTGGGGGAGTATTAATAGCATCCAACTGTTTGCTATATTAAAAAAAAAAAATTCAGACAAAAATAAGTGACTTTTTATGTTAAGCTATTTGCGGCAGCGCTAAGTCAATAAATGTATATCATTGGTACTGTATTTGTAGTTATACAGATAAAGAATATAACAACTTAGCCCATTATATTCAAATCTCATGAGCAAGAGAAAATGAAATCGAATAAGACTTAAGTGTATCCAATTTAATGCAAACTCACTCGTAAAGTGATTGATTTAAAAAGCTGAACATCGCTGCAGTATTGACTAGTCCAAGTCGGTTCATTGTACTAATGTCTTGTAACGTCTTTTTCTCTGCCGAGAGTACCTTGTGCACAAAACGATAATTACGGGATAGCCGGTTTAACCGAAACGTCACTAACATAATAAGTTCAGCGGTTAGTTTAATTATTGGATGCGTTTCGAAGTCAATTTCAGAATCCGAGCTATAGTCGTTTATATTACCGCTACTGCCGTGGGACGGTCCGTGATCCAATTTTTTTTTAGACTGTGACTGAAAACATTAGCGCTTAGATTTGATTAAAAACAATCAGTTTATACATATATAAGCATTTGACGTGTGTCCTCTTTTTCCAGAAAGTCATACTCTTCGTACAAATTAGGTTCATCAATATCATTATATTCCTCAAACATATAGTAGTCTCCAGTACGCACTGCATGCGGATGAAGACGTAAGTCTCGCCTTTTAGGTGGTGATGCGTGTGTTAAGCTTATAGATTTTGATTTAACAGTTTTTATTGGGTTTTGTAATGATACGCTAATATTATCGTCCTGCGAACTTATATGCTCACTCGAATCGATTTCCGAATGCTGTCTAGTAGCATTCGCCTCTAAAAAATTAAGATATTAGTAAACATTTTTTGACAATAACACTTACTTTTGTAATTTTCTCTGTTGCTGGCTCGTATTAATTCCATCTTTGCCTTAACACTTTCCAGCACGTTCTTTTCGCACTCTCTTCGATCATAAATTTGCTTATAGTGCAAATTCTCAATAATACTAGCACCACTAAGGAAAAATTCGTGTTAGAATTCTGAAACAATACCATTTGTTAGTAGCAACGTGTAACAACTGTTTAGCAAAAGACACTTGTAAAAGATCCGTTTCAATTGCAGAATACGAAATTTTCTTTATGTTTTTATTTCCAAGAAGTTCTGGTAAACACCTGTTTTATAATCATCCACATAGTAAAAGTAATTTTTTTGGTAAATATCCGTCAGACCGAATGTTTGTATAAAAAAAAATTTGTTCGACGCTAAGCCTTTAAATCTTGAAAGTGGCGTATATCCAGGCTAAGTTCAACAGGCCCAAATCATAATAACAAGTAAGAGGTTTTAATCGGGAGCTCCCGACAAGGCGATACCCTGAACCCTCTTATTCCAACAACAAATACATCTCGCGCTACGCGCTCGGTTGCTTTAGCAGTAATAAAAATAAATTAAAAAAAAACAAGTAAGAGGTTTTAGCCGGGAGCTCCCGACTAGGGGATACCCTGAACCCTCTTCTTCCAACCCCAAATGCAGCAGGCGCTACGCGCTCGTTTGTTTTAATATTAATGAAGAAAAATTAAAAAAAAAAGTTCCCTTGGCAGGGTTTGAACTCGTAACTGACCGCATTACTTGCTGCCGCTTCTAATCAACAGCCGCACCAGCCAAAAAAAAAAAAAAGTTTACCCGATTCGAACTCGCAACAGACCGCACTACTTACCGCCTCCTCTACTCAACAACCACACCAATAATTGAGTCTTGATGAAAAAAAACGAATTAAAATAGCAGCACAGAAAACAATACAATCGCAATTGAAATGCAGTTGATAGAATTCCAAGAAGTCGCGCATTAATGTGTGTGTTTACATGTATACAGAAATTCTTGGAATTTGCGATTGTTGCCGCTGATAGGAGAAAAGTCAAAACACGTTTTCTTTGATCATTTCTGTGTTTCTTAACTGATCTTGATGAAATTTTCTAAAGTAAATCATATTGTACTATCGAATATTGGTGTATTATGGAAAAGTCATTTGTATTGAAATTGTGGCTTATATTTGTGGGCAGCATAAATTAGTCTTTTTACTTGATATATAGCTATGAGGCGGGGAGGTGGCAATAGCTATAAAATTAAAGATACTTGATATATATAGAAGCACACGTCAAGTCTGCTGACTCTAGCTCTTATTATATACCAAAATTGCAAAACACAATTGGGAAATCGATTACTTGGAAACGGGGCAAGTTATCGAATATCGAAAACAAACTCGATCTGCGCATGCACTAGGAGGACCTACAGCTAAAATTTCAAGACTATCTCTTATAGGTTCTGAGATCCTTACACTCATACATACAGACAGACGGACGCACAGACGGACATGGCTAGATCGACACGGCTATTGATGCTGACCAAGAATGTATATACTTTATGGGGTCGGAGATGCTTCCTTTTGCCTGTTACATACATTTGCACAAATACATTATACCCTTTTTACCCACTTTTAATGGGTTCAGGGCATAAAAATGGTTTTATCGATAGATTTAAAAATATTTGTGTCTCATTAAAGATTAGTTATTTTTCCACGGCAAGCTGCAATAGACGTATCAACTTCATAGTTCCGCTCAATTATTAATAAAATTGAAGCGTTTACAGAAGATTTTCAGGATGTTGTCTTAAATGAAGAGCTGCATTTTCTGGATTCGTTTAAAAGCTACCTACTGGAGCGGTCATATTGTGATCTTAACAAATCTCAATTTGGGATAAATTTAATATCCTGTCCATGGTCTTTCGATGATGCAACAGAAGGACCCGATACATGTAGCTTTTATAAATTTATATATCAACTACATAGGTGTCAAATTAGAAAATAGAATGCTTAGTAAATAAAAAAAAAAAACATATTATTTTTGTTTCCAAAAAACGTACATAATCTATTATTTGTTTTATTTAAAAAACTCTAGCTACCGACAGTATTCCACACTTAAGCTACCCATATATACACACAAACACACACACACACACACGCAAATGTCAACATAAACAAAATTATCCACGATCTCGCGCATGCGTTACCAACGCCTCTACGCAATAGCCACACCAGCCAAAAAAAAAAATAGTTTCCTCGGCAGGGCTCGAACTCGTAACTGAACGCACTACTTTCCGCCGCCTATACTCAATAGCCACTCCAATAATTAAGTCTTAATGAGAAAAAAGCGAATTAAAATGGGAGCACAAAAAACAATACAATCGCAATTGCAATGATGTTGATAGAATTCAAAGAAGACGCGCATGAATGTGTGTGTGTGTACATGTTTACAAAATTCTTGGAATTTGCGCTTGCTGCTGCACGTATTTGCAGGCCAAAACACATTTTCTTTCGTGTTTCTTAATCGATCTTGATGAAATTTTCAGTAGTATATCTTATTATACTATAAAATATTCGTGTATTCTCAAAATGACAATTTCACTTAAATTGTGGCTTAATTAGATTGGCAATACAAGTAGGCTTACTAACATGATTTATATCTTTTAGGTGGTAGCGGGGAGGTGGGGATAGCTATAAAATAAAAAGATACTTGATATATCTATATATACTATTCTAGAAGCTACATGTCCAGTTTGGTGACTCTAGCTCTTATTATTTACCAATATTGCCTAAAAAAACAGGATTTCGTTATCGATTTTTAGCGATTACTTGGAAACGGGGCAAGTTACCGTATATCGGAAACAGTCTCGATCTGCGCATGGACTAGGATGACCTGCAGATAAAATTGATACATACGGACGGACGGACGGACAGACGGACATGGCTAGATCGACACGGCTATTGATGCTGATCAAGAATGTACGTACTTTATGTGGTCGGAGATGCTTCCTTCTGCCTGTTACATACATTTGCACAAATATATAATACCCATTTTCAATGGGTTCAGGGTATAAAAAAAGTTCCCTTGGCAAAGTAAGAACTCGAAACTAACCGCACTCCTTGCCGCCGCCTCTACCCAACAGCCACACCATTTATTAATTATTAATGAGAAAAAAACCAATAAAAATAGCAGCACAGAAAACAATACAATCGCAATTGCAATGCTGTTGGTAGAATTTAAAGAAGACACGCATGAATGTGTGGGTACATGTATACAGAAATTCTTAGAATTTGCGCCTGCTGCTGCTAACACGTGCGCACATAACTCTTGTGTTTGTTAGCCGATCTTAATGAAATTTTCCTTAGTACATCTTATTGTACTATAAAATATTCGTGTATTCTTACAATGACAATTGCATTTAAATTGTGGCTTATATTGGCGGGCAGCACAAATTGGTTTATTTACTTGACTTATAGCTATGTAGTAGCGGGGAGGTGGTGATAGCTTTAAAATAAAATATACTTGATAAATATATACTAATCTAGAAGCTACAAGTCATGTTTGGTGACTCTAGCTCTTATTATTTACCAAAATTGCTCAAAAAACAGTATTATCGAGATATCGAATATTGGAAACAAACTCGATCTGCGCGGGCACTAGGAGGACCTACAGCTAAAATTTCAAGTCTGTAGCTCTTATAGGTTCTGAGATCCTTACGTTCATACATACGGATAGTCAGAAGGACGGGCCAAATACAGACGGACATGGCTAGATCGACTTGGCTGTTGACGCTGATCAAGAATATATATACTTTATGGGGTCGGAGATGCTTCCTTCTGCCTGTTACATACATTTGCACAAATACATTATACCCTTTTCAATGGGTTCAGGGTATAAAAATCGGTATATTTTCTATGATTGGAGGTCGAGTGACCAAATTGAGTTTCCGAATATGAGATACTCTGAACCTTAGCATTAACTTTTTTTTGGGTCCCGCCATCTTGCTCATCCATTCTCAGGGATCAGCCCCATCCTTGGCCCGCAGTCCGCACTATAAACATACAACAATTTTTTACAATCATCTTCTGCGGACGGGGTTATACAACAAAATAGCAAGAAAAAATTTCAAAAAATAAACACCATAAACAGCTGAAACTGGCAATAAAAAACAACAATAGTAAGTATTTAATAATACAAATTAAATCGTACAAATTCGATCCAAGTTCTGTACCTAAGCTGAAGTGTACCGGAGTAAGCCGGGGTAGGTGTTGGCTTGACTACCCTTACTTCTGTAAATGTGGATATGCAGCGTTAGCATAAACGGTCAGCTAGAGGGGCTAGTGAACCGCGCTGCGTAATATGACCCAGAGCTAATATATAAGTGGCTCTAGGCTTGTTTAATGTATAATTGTTATTGTATGCAACAAAGTGCCGCATACTTTATATTTGTATATAGGGTGTTCTTTTAAGGCATATACACACTACACCTCCCCTTTTAGAGGAATAACGTAATATAATGTAGTTATTTTTAATTGCTGTATTTTTTTTTTTGAATGTGTAAAATATTAAAAAAAAAATTAAAATTTGTTTTTGAATATATATATTTTTTTTTAAATTTAAAATTTAAGAATGTCAAAGTATTACTCAATTTAATAATAATAAGAATAGTAAAAATAATAATATGAATATTCTTATGCATGGCCACACTAAAATGAATTTGAAGTAAACATTTTTAACCTATCTTTATGAACTTTCTGTTTTTTACCTTTTTTATCTTTTATTTTAATGTTATTCCTATCTTCTATGCCTATTACTTCATAGGGGCCTAAATAAACTGGTTCTAATTTATGCCCTGTTTCATTTCTTAACAGTACGTTATCTCCTATGTTTAATTCTATATTCTTTACTTTACTATCGTATATAAGTTTATTCTTTTGCTTGTTTTGTTCAAGCATTATTCTAGCTCTTTTATATGCTATTTTCAATCTATATTTTGATTCTTTAGCATAATCCTCTGCATTATATAAAGGTTCAATGTGTTCATTAACACTATTAAATGCCTTGTTAATGTTTGGGTTTTTGCTAAAAATTAGTTCATATGGGCAATAGTTGTGCGTTGTGGAAGGTGTTGTATTGAAACAATAATTAAAATA